CTTGGCATAAGTACATTTTTTGAACATGCGAAAGGAGGAATGTGCTTCCAATTATGCCGCTTTTTAATTGAGAGAGAGGATTATAAAACCTGTTTCCGAATGTTCTTGGATGCGTTGGAGTCCGGTGGTTTGGATTTGAAAGAATTGTTTGTAGGCAATGATCGAAGAATCAAGTCCATCCTTGTCGATTTTTCTCAGTCTCAGCTTAAGGGATTACGGGAGGCTTTTATGGAGAAATTTGGAAGTGCTGGTAAAGAAGTTGTTGAACAATTGGCATCTGGTTGTTTTATTCACTTCAAGAGAAGTGTGAAACGGATGGTAAAGGTTATCCCAGTTGAAGAAGCTGTACGGACGAGAGTGGAAGGTTTGGCCAGTGATATTGAGAAGTTTAGGTCTGAGAAAGCAATAACAACCATTCTTGATGCAATTGAACTTTATTGTCCAGGTGTGAAGTCGTGGTGTGATTGGTGGCGGCAGTCGCATATTGTTAAATTGTTACTTGCAACAAGTGCTGTGGAGAATAATCTACCAAGAAACACCAACGTCCAAGAAGTGTTAAATGCTACAGGAGTACCCACTTATGATGGTAATGCAATCGTAGAAATTGAAATGATGCTCCGAGAGGATGTTACAGGCGTCATTAAATTATTGGGCCTGAATGAAAATGTGCCACTTTCATATGCTGACAACACCAAGCAAGGAAGGAAGAAGAGAAACGAGAAGAGAAAAAGAGCCGACCCTTTCGATTCCAGGCCTGCTGACACAGTGTCAAGAGGCTTGATTCCAACAAACACCGCTCCTATTGACGCTCTTGAAAACTTTTTAGAAGGATTGAAAACAGACCAACGCACAGCATTGGAAGAGTTCGCCGGTCAGGAAGCTGATGATGTAATTGAAGACGAAGATTTTCAAGAAGTGGGAGATGGTGAAATTGTTGAAGTGACGTCGGAAGAAGAAGAAAAAGTCGAAGAACCAAAGGCAAAGAAGAAAAAAGGAGCAACAACTCGAACAACATCCCGTAAGAGCAAAATTATTACAGATTCAGAATCTGAGTACTCATCATCATCTTCAAATGACGTGTTGGACGAAGTGGATGATGGTTGTACAGCGAGAACTGATCAAATTGTGACCCGAAGCTCTCAAGCAATTTCTTTTGAGCCAGGTCGCTCCTTTGCATTTCACATTGAGCAAGCCACGAAGTTCGGTCGCAAATCTGCTAATTTTTAATAAATAATTAAAAAAAATAAATCGGACAAGTGCTGATGATATTTGGCACTCAAGTGTCAGGTGCTGTTTGCATTTGGCACTCCAGTGTTAAGTGCTATTTGTATCTCCTTTTTGGGACTACGTGCCATTGCAAACGGCACTAAAGTGTAAGGTGTAAGGTGCTAAAAGGTATGTCCTCGAGGTCGTCGTGGGTTCAATTGCCGCCAATACAAAGTTTTTGTCTGCTGGCGAACAACATGTTGTTTGTTGAGTTTTTAGCGATGATGATGAGGAAGGAGGAAGTAATGCTTGACTAGATGTGGTGGAAGATTGGTTGTTGTTGAGAGCGGTTCCAGAGAGAGATTGTGCAGATGTGGCCACGAGTGGCGAATCATTGTTGCTGTTGGGATATTTGCTGCTGTCAGATGACATTTCTTGGTCTTGCATTTTTTTATTTGGCAGGAGGTAATTTTCAAAATGGAAATTGTGCCGCTATGAGAATGAATCAGGAGATGCAAAGACGAAGCATGAACGCAATTCCTTGTCCTCGTACGTGTGTGGGTCTTTGTTTTTGTGATAAATTACAGCTTGTTGCACGCAGTCTCGAACACCAAAGGTCTCCAAAAGACCACGCAAAGCCTCCCGTTTTGTTAATCCGATTTGGTCATGATGAAATTCATGGCATCGCACGTTGAAGGTCTCTAAATCAATTACTCCATCACCAATTTAAATAATAATTAAAATAAATTAAATTTATTGATTGTTGCAAGGATTTTTTAACGTTTTAAATTTATCAGCAAAAACTGCAAATCCTTTTCCCGCATTATTTATAAACGAATAAACACAATCTAAACTTTCACGCAGTGCTTGAATTTGCTGTTTCATCTCTGCATTTTCTTTTCGCAACCTCTCAAGCTCATATGCAATCACATCGTTGTTCAAGTTCGGTATCGGAGGAGGAGACGATGGTTGTTGTTCAAACATCTCTTCAATTTCCGCAAAATCATCAGTAATATCTACAGTGCTTGATGATGATTGGGATCTAATGTTGTTAATTGAAAGACAATGAAGACATCAACATACTTACACTGCAAAACTTTGGACATCATCGCAAGATATTTCGCTAATTTTTCGTTTGGGAGGTTGATTGTTGCATTTGGGTTGAATGTGATCTTTGATTTGTCCTACAATCGCGGAAAGGAATTGGGGACCGTTTAGACCGGTAGTTTCTTGTGCTGCTTTGGCTACGTGTGTCCATTTTGAATTGGAAGATGGTTTCAAGGATGCATCATTTTTGAACTGCGTCTTCTCTTGTTTTTTCTTTCATTCTCTTCTCGCTGAGCTGTTGCTGCTTCCTTTTTGCGTTTTTTTTTGACTGAACAGTCCTCTTTAGTACAACTTCCATCGCAGGGCGGGTTTGTACACTTTGCTCGGTTGTGGCCTTTCTGATGGCATCCGCTGCAATAGCAAGAATAGGAATTGTTAGTTGTGTTAGGTGTAGAGGGAGTAAAATTATAAACAAACGTAGATTGTTGAGAATTTGAAAAAGGTGGTACTTGAGAATTGTTCATTGGTGTATTACTGGTGTTGCTTTGCGTAAATGTTGTTGATTGTTTTTGAGGTGTGTTTGTTGGATATATAATTTGATTGTCAATGGCTGGATAAACATTCAAACCACCAAAGTCAGTAACAAATGCTACTTGTGATTGAGTGGCCATTTTTTTTTAGATTTTATTAAATTTTGATTTTTAGTTTAACGGTTGTTTATGGCGCCACTTTGTGAAAAATTCACATGACAACACACGAAAGTAGAAGCAAACCAAGGAAGCGAGTTGTGGTTGGTTACTACCACAGCAAGAAGGTAATGGTGGCAGGCCTGAAAATATTCTCTTTCAGACAGGTTGCAAAAGCTTGGGGATGCTCACCAAGCACTGTGTTTTATTGGAAAAACAGAATTGAAGAAAACGTGCAAGCTAATGTTGGTGGTGTTCGTCAATTCAAGTATGATTTAAAGGACGTGGTAAAGGCAGTACTTATTGTGAACAAAGTGTCAATGGTAAAACCATTGTCTACACTGGATGAATATGTAAATGAATTACAAAAACATGGTTACGATTACAGCACCACATGGGTGAGTCGAGTGTTGAAGCAACTAGGTAATTCTTTCAAGAATGCTTGTTATAAGAGCAGATTGAAATATACACCAGAAAACATCACAAAGTACATCCATTACGTTTGTGGTATGGCAGAGCTTCTTGAAAAAGTGCCGGTGTATCGTCTGAAATTCCTTGATGAAAGTAGTTTCGTGAGCAGAAATTTGTATCGGAAAAGAGGAGTTGCTCCTATTGGTTGTAGATTGATAGTTGTGAACAACACAAAGCCATTAGATTATTCGTGTAGTCGTTGCTTGTTTTGTTGTAGTTTTCTTGCCATGTCTCGTTTTGTGATGGTCTCTTCTCTCTTGTTTGTAATTCTCTGCTTCACATCTCACGTTTTGTCAGTAAAATGGCCCGCGCTTCTTGTTTTGTGATGGTCTCTTCTCTGCACATGCTTGTTTTGTGAGTTTCACAGGTCACACGTTCTGTTTTTGTGCTCGTAATGTTGGCGCTGTCAACATTTATATTTCTTACATGCTCGTCATTACTTTTTCTGTGCACGTCAAACGAAAAATTTCCTTTGCTAGAGGCTTGTGTGGTCTTTTGGAGACCTTTGGTGTTCGAGACTGCGTGCAACAAGCTGTATTTGAATCAAACTGGAACAACAACAGCAAGAAGTCTGTAAAAGGAACTGAGTGAACAAAGAAAGTTTCGATTGGAGCTTCTATTTCTTTTAAATTGGAAAGGTTGTCATGTTCTCATACATTCTTTTTCATGAGCAGGTACTCTTTAACATTCAATTGTAATCATCTAATTTTGATTGGATTTTTATTTGCCACATGTAATTAACTCGTGAAGTTTACGCGCAAAAAACTAAAGGAACGCTTTGTTGCTTGCCCGTTTTCCAAGAATAGCTAGTTCACTTTCAGAAATGCTTTACATATTATGGCAGCGGTCTTGGCCGAGTGGTCTTAAGGCGTTTGACTTGAAATCAAATGGGGCGACCCGCGCAGGTTCGAGTCCTGCAGACCGCGAATTCTTTTTTCTTATCGGTCTAAAGTTATCAGGTGTTCTGCATTGACTCAACTCTACAATTGTAGAACTGAATGGCTTTTAGGTGAATGCCAATTCAACTTCAAAAAAATGCTGAAACATCAATATTGGCTCCCTCTTCGGCCATGACCCGCAGCAAATTGTTGAATGGTCGAAGTATACACATCATCATCATACATTTTTGAACAATTCTAATAATCATTTGTGGTTGGGTAACGAAAGTTTTTTGTTATCGGAATACTGCCAAGAATTTTCATATAAATTTATGGAATGGGTACTCATCAAGTTCCCAGTATGAAGGAGGTGGACTCTATGGTTCAGCAATGACCAAAAAAACAACAATTAAATCATCATCACCCGTTACTTCTAAGAAAGTTTATGAACGCAAAAACACTCCGATCATTACACTCAACAGAGAGAATGAAGAAGACGAATTGAAAAATTTGGGAGATTTATCGGATAGGGAAAAGTTGCACAAACATTTGGGATTATCATCGGTACCAACAAATATCGCTCCGCATCAACGTGAAGCTCTGGAAATGGCAATGGGTGAGCTTATAGCACAAGACAAGACAGAATCTGCACAAACAGGCAAAAAGCAGAGGAAGAGAGCTGCTCCTACAAGTAAAGCGAGAGACGAAGAAATTATCAAACAAAAACTTGAATCTACAAGGAGACCAGAAGAGGTATCTTCCTCACACAAATAGATAGGCAACACCTCTCATTGATGGAAGCACCCAACCAGACCCTTCAAGAACGATTTTCAAAGAAACCTTCCAAATCCCTAACACCAACAAACTTGCAGAGAAAACACTAGATACTCACAAATTTGATCCAGACAAGCCAGAGACACTTGTTCCATTCAAGTCTCCAAGATTAATCAAATTGTGGAAAGAAGGAAAAATTGTGCCAGAGAATATTCGAAACAGATTACGATTTGAAGAAACTCCAGACGGATTATTCGATATTTATTTTACTGATGATCGTAGTTTTACCAAGTTGACCACAGCGCTTTTAACTCCAACCAGTACCTTTTTACAGCTTGAAAAATTGAAAATGTTATCCGAAGAGACAGATCCAGAATTATTTTTCAAATCCAAACCTCTCACTCTCAAAAACTTTAATTATCTTATTCGATGTCAAGCCATTCAGGGTAAATTAGAATTTGCTGAAAAACCTTTGAAAAGTTGAAAAATCTGGGACCTTCCAAGTCTGAACTCGAATTAATCATACAGAAACGAAAAGCATCACTATTGAGTGATAATAGCCACATGAATGACGAATTGTACTTGATTCCAACTGAGCACACATTTTGTGCTGTCATGCAAGCATGTGCTGCACAAGGAGAATACAAAAAAGCATATGGATACCTTCGAGAAATGCAACATGAATATCAAATTAGTCCAATGTGTTCCCTATAGTATTGTCGTTCACGCCATGGTCAAGGCAGGCAAGCTCGATGAAGCTTTCCAAATGGTAGAGTTGATGCGTTCTCATAACCTTCCAACCGATACAGTCCTCCACACAGATCTCATCAAAGGCTGTATTGATAAGGGAGACGTAGAGAGAGCATGGAATCATTACATGGCCATGGGAATGGTGTATGGTGTTCCTCATGATGAAGTCACTCTCACTGTCATGATCGATGCATGTGCCATTAAGGGACAAGCTGAGAAAGCAATGATGCTCTTTAGAAGATTGGAAGAACAAATGATGGCTGAGCCATCGGAGGCAACTTTCAATTCTATCATTAAGGCATTCTCGAAACGAAAAGGATCTTCGCCACAAAGCATTCGAAATGGCCGATCGAATGGAAGTGCAAGGTTACAAGCCTGATATTTACACGATCAATTCATTGATTAATGCATGTGCCGACGACGGAGATGTTTCCAAAATGAAAAAAGTTTTGAAAAAGATGAAGATTGTGGTATCAAACCAACAGAACACACCTACGTTTCTGTCCTAAGTTGCTACAGTGTTGCTCAACAAGTGAAAGGAAATAGTAATCTCACAAAAGAACAAAATCAAAATATTGTTGACGCCTTAGCAGTTTTCGAAAAGATGAAAGAAAGTAATTTACCTGTGAATAACTATTCAATGAATGCATTGCTTGGAGTTTTTACAAACGCACTTCGGATTACACGAGCAGAAGAATTCTTTGCAAGGACCTACCAAGAGCATCAACTCGTTCCAGACAGTATTTCCTATGCACTGTTAGTGAGGATGTATTGTAGGGCGAAACGAACAGAAAAAGCAATGGCTCTTTTTGATGAAATGAAAGAAAAAGGAATAATACCCACATACCAAGCATACAAGCACATGGTGTTCAAGCTCGTCGATGAAGGTTATGTTGAAAAAGCACGTGATTATTTACGACAAATGTTCGAAGTTGGTGGTTTCAAGTTATCACCAAGTGACATTATCAAATACAAGAGCCGAGTTGCAGGTGCTGCTCGATTGATTAAGGAACGAAAACAAGAAGAGAATGTTGA